ATTACTTTTGAATCAAAATACATTCAGGGAGTTTAGAAATATTTTTCAAATAAAAAGTAACAGAGCCTCAATACTATCCCTGACCCCTTCTGCCCTGTTCTCGTCTTCATCCCCCACCACCAATTTGTTTGTCCCTCTGGAATTCATTTATACAAATAGAAGCTAACATGAATATATCCCATCCTACCTTATTTCTACAGAAAATGCAGCAAAGTGCCGTTATGGACAGTTTTAGGGAGTGAATCCTTCCCCTCCACTGCCAGCAAGCCCAAGGCTGGACAGCTGATCCATAAGCACTTGCTTTGGGGCGGGGGGAGGGAAGGCCAGACTGAACGGACAAGTCGATATCTGGGGCAGAGAGTCTGAGAGGCAACTGCTTGTGGACGGGCACCTGTGCACAGGCATCAAAAGCAAAGCAGTCCCACTCGCTCAGTGTGGCAGGTGTCAGGAGCAGGTGCATCCTGGCGCCTGGTGACACGCACAGCTAAAGGCCAGATACTTCCAGGGGTGGCGATGGCCTCACCCTTGACGGCTTCCTCAGTGGCTGATACTAGCACCTGTCTCGTGGGTCACCAAAGAGCACCCCCAGGATGAAGGGTACAGAGAACTTTGCTGCATTGTTAAAACAAAGCCATGTGCAGAGAACTTAAGCACAAAGAAATGGAGGAAAGCTCCTCTTCCACTGTTCCGGCCTCACGCCGCTTGGCAAATCATCCTAGAATGACTGCGGGGGATTCTGCCCCATATGGACCATGACCGGACGGGACTTCTGGGGAAGCGCTTATAAATGGGCCTGGCCCCTCTGAAAGGGAACTCCAGGCCAGGGGCTGTGGAAGGGCTCTCTCAGGGCCAGTCCTGGCTTATCTGCAGACAGTACAAAAGTGCTGATGGGGAAGGGGGTGTGTGCACCGCCAAGAAAGTGGACTAATATTTTTGGGAAGTTTTAATTTGCTTCAATTAAAAATTCAGGCCAGCTCTGAGCAAAGAGAAGTAGGTGAACTTATTTTCTGAACCTCTGCACCGATCTTTCTGGGCCCCGCCACCCTTGTGCAGGCCTGTCACCAAGGACCCCCCACCCTAGCCAGCATTTCCTAACTGGCTGGTTCCAAGGTGCACACCGCTTCCTCCCCATTCTCCAGCTGGACCAGACCAGGGTCCTGCTTGCGGGGGCGAGGGGGGGGGGGGACCATCTGGCTCCACACACGGGAGAAGCCTCAGGAGAAGCTCGTCTCTGGGGCCCCAGCACCAGCCTTCCCAGGCTGGGTCATTTCCATACACAGGGCTCTTAAGCTAAGTGGCTCTAGATCTTGTGATCAAAGGACTATAAGAAACACTTGGGAAAATGAGATGCTTTTAAACAACGCATGGACCGTAGGAAGGGCTCACTGAGCCATAGCTGTTGGATTATGACCTTCTTCGTTATTTAGAAGTGTGCCCCCATCAGTCCTCCAGGGAGCTCTCAATGGTGGCACCGCCGTCCCCTCTCAGCGGTCCTGGCCCAGAGAAGGTAGCTGCTTTCTTAGGAGTAGTTTATGAGCCACCGGAGAAACCCTCCTGCCCTGACATATGCTCTAATGGGCTCGGCAGTAGTACCCGTGTCCTACTAATCTCTGTCAAGTGAAGGAATAAATAAACCCATCCATTCAGTATACTTATGAATATGTAATGAACATGTTTCAGGACAGGAACAATGCTGACCCACACGAGGGTCAGAAAAGGCAGCACTGGGGCGCCTGGGTGGCTCAGTCAGTTAAGCGTCTGACTTCTGCTCAGGTCATGATCTCAGGGTCCTGGGACTGAACCCTACATCAGGCTCCCCACTCAGCATGGAGTCTGCTTATCCCTCTCCCCCTCCCCCAAGTCGTGCACTCACTCTATTCCTCTCAAATAAATCAAGAAAGGAAGGAAGAAAGAAAAAGAGAAAAGAAAAGGAAGAAAGGAAAGAAAAGAGGGGAGGGGAGGGGGGAGGGGAGGGGAGGGGGAGGGGAGGAAGAAAGAGAAAGAAAAAAGAAAGAAAAAGGAAAGAAAGAAGGAAGGAAGAAAAAAGAAAGAAAAAAGAAAAGAAAGAAAAAGGAAAGAAAGAAAGAAAAAGAAAAAGAGGGCACCTGGGTGGCTCAGTCGTTGAGCGCCTGCCTTCAGCTCGGGTCATGATCCCAGGGTCTTGGGATCGAGCCCCACATCGGGCTCCCTGCCTGGCGGGAGGCCTGTTTCTCCCTCTCCCGCTCCCCCTGCTTGTGTTCCTGCTCTCGCTATCTCTGTCTCTTTCAAATAAATAAATAAAATCTTTAAAAAAAAAAAAAAGAAAGAAAGAAAGAAAGAAAAAGAAAGAAAGAGAAAGAAAGAAAGAAAGAAAAAGAGAGAAAGAAAAGAAAGAAAGAAAGAAAGAGAAAGAAAGAAAGGAAGAAAGAAAGAGAAAGAAAGGAAAGAAAGAAAGAAAGAAAAGGAAAGGCAGAACTAGGGAAAGGAGCGGGCTCTAACCAATATCAAAGGCTTCTCCCTCCTACAGCCCCACAGTTCCTTCCCCTCCTCAGGATCCAGGGGTGTCTCTATTGCACTTTTGCTCTTGTAGGGCAGGAGGCTGAGTGACTGTCCTCCAGTGCATTGATTATCTCCCAAACGATTCCATCCTCTGGGGCCCCAGTTTGCAGAGGGCTGGCTGGGTCAAGGGTGGAATTGGGCCCCAGGAGCCCAGTTCAGTCTTCTCTAGCCACAAAACACCCCAACCCCAAGCCCCACCTTGGACTTTTCCAAAACAGCTTTACAGTGAGGCCTGACCAAGTTTCCAGAGTACATCCCTCCCCCAAGAACCCTAAGTCAAAGGCCTTTTAGTGGGGGGAAAGGAGTAACCCCAGACCACCGTAAAGAAACCACACTCCCCTTGCTCTCTAGGTCCACACCTCCCAAACCCCGTGTTGACCTTTCCAATGGTAACTGACAGAAATTCCGGAAACATGGCAGTCCTCCAAATTCAGGTATGCAAAAATGATTTTTTGATAACTCAAATTTATCCTCGTAACAAACCCCATTTCCAACCAACAGAGAAGTTAATCTGGTAACGTTCAAATCAACTCAGCCTCATCAATGATTTCAATTCAATCGATTCAAGTCTAACTTGATCACATCCCCATTTGGGGGCTGGGCTTATTATACCATCTTCCTGCTGTGTTCCTCCAACGACCAATCGGCAAGCTCTCTAGCATGCTCTCAGCTGACTTCCTTGCATGCCAGGCACCCGCAGAATTCTCTGGGCCCTCTCCCTTCTCCATTCAAGAGAAATCTGGGCAACTAACCTGCCAAGTGCTTCCAAAAGGCCGTCTCCATGTGCTCTGGTGGTGTAGGGAGCATCTGACAGGTCACTGTCCTCCCTAATTCCAACATGGAGCTCAGCCCAGGGCCCCTCCACCGAGAGCCCCCAGTGTTAAGGGGAATTGTTCCTACACTGCCCCTAATGCCCTTCTCTAAAAACTCTCCCCCTCCCTATTGCAGAGCTCTTGATATCTCTTTATGGTCCTTTCAAATCTCTTCCTACCCTTAGTCCTTCAACTTAACACCTAAAGACTGGCATCTTTGTTCTCTACAGTTCAGAGGGAAGGAGTGAAAATCACCCACGAATTAATCCATCACCTAACATCTCACTACTTCAGATACATATGGTCCAGCCGGTTGCCCATCCTGGACAAGTGGAGGATTATGCAGGGCTGGGTGGGCCGGGTTCCCTCCATGAGGGGGGCAGGGCTCAGAGGCCCATCAGAGACAGGGAAGGGGAGGCAGTGAGGCTCCCTGGTTTGCAGACTGCCCTGGCTGTGAAGTCACATGAGCCTGGATGCATCACGGCTCCTCCCTTTACTGATGTGACCTTGAACAAGTCATTTAACTTCTCTGAGCCTATTTCCTATAACAAGATGCCACCCCCTTCCCAGGAACCCCGTGAGCAGCAGAGACCAGCACTAGGCACTTGGCCCAGCACCTGGCGTGTAAATGCTCCGTAGAGAGTCACCCCAAAACCACACAGCAGACTCAGCCAGAGCCCAGCTTCTGGACTCAAAGGCAGCCTGACTTGAGCCTCCAAGGCTCCTTGCCCAAGCCTTCCTCCCAGGGCCTCTCTACACAAACCTGTAGGTGCCACTCCTCCTGCTATGTTCCTTTTCAGGTGCAAAAATCAAATCCCAAGTCAGGCTTGCTCAAGTCAGGTGGGGATTTATGCAGTTAAGACCCTTTCCACGGCTCGTTTGATTCAAATTAGTTTAAACCAAAAAATAGAGAGGGGGAAAAAAAAAAACAGGAAGGAGTCTCCTTTAGTTAACATAACCTGAAGTCCCAGGGGCACCTGCCTGCAGGCACAGCTGGACCCACGAACTCCAAAGACACCACCAGGACCCAGCCCTGCATGCCCCCGCCCCCGCTCTGCCTCTCTCTGCATGGCTCCGCTCTCAGGAAAGCTCCCCCGCCATGGCCGGCAGCTCCAGGCTTACCCTCTCTGCACCCCTCACGGGGAAAGCATACCTCTTTCTTGGGTGCTCCAGCAACCAAACTGAGTCATGTGAGCACCCCGGAATGGGTCACTGAGGCTGCAGGGACCGAGGTGAAGGCGTGGGGTCCACCCGACCAGGCCGCCGAGCTACATGAGATGGGGCTGACAGGAGGCGACCACTCCCTCCACAGCCCAAGTCCACACCCCTTCTCCCCAGACACCCGCACACTGAGCACCAGCGGCCGGATGTCCTCACTAGTGCCCAGAACCGAACCAGTCCAGCCATTTATTCGGCAGCGATTTCCTCATCGGGCCCCCATAACAGGCACGGCTCGCTGAGGCCTGGCACCCATGGGCCCGGGGTCCCACTTGCTCCCATCGGCTGGGGCAGAGGGGGTCTGGAAATGGGGGCTCACAGGACCGACAAGGCTGGGCTGTCCACTGAGGAAGAGCTATGGGCCGGGCGGTTTCTGTTAGAAGAGGTGAAGGAATAGCAGGCGGCCTGAGTGACACACGGAAACTCTCCCCATGGCATCCAAAAGGGAAACACTTTTATTGATACCTGAGACAAAGTGCAGGAGAAACATTCCTACCGACCATGGAGCCTGTCCCCTTGGGCCAGACCAGGCCAGGCGACATCTCTCAGCCTGCCCTTGAGCCGTGGGTCGTCTGGGGCCTCCCAGAGAAGGCCGCAGCCAGAGTCCAGAGAGAGAGCTTCCACAGCCATGGCTCCCGAGGCCAGAGCGGGCTTAGCAGGGAGGCCTCACCGATCAAGCTCTAGGGTCTCTTGGGTCACAGTCCGGAGTCCGATGGAAAACAACTCCTCCCAGGGCTCCCGGATCCAGGCCAGCAGGGCTGTCAGCTGCTCTGGACACACAACACGAAGGGCCCAGAAGCTCTCCAGCCGGGACACCTGGCAGAGCAAGTGGCAGTGAGGGGAGACTCGCGGAGGACCCGCCACCCCTCCTTGCCCCAAGGCCTGCTTCCTTCCCCAAGCCTGTGTCCCTCCACAGAAGACCGAGACTTTGAGCTTCTGAAGCACAACACCTACTGAAGGCACCCCCCCGCCCCACAGAAGGCTTCCACATTTACTATCTTGTTTCTTTAATCCACCCTGTTTTCTAGAACGTAAGTTCTGGAATCAACTCCAAGGAACTGGTTGGAGTTCAATTCCTGGATTGACCACTTGTGACCCAGGCAAACTGGCTAATGCCCCCAAGCCTCGGTTTCTCCACCTGTAATAGGCCTAAGGAGGCTGGGAAGAGCAGCGGGCTGGAACGTGGGCGCCCATTCAAATGCAAACGCCAAGCAGCCGCCGGTGGGTCACTGAAGGCCTCCCAGCTAACACAAGCTGGGCCCCAGGTCCGTGGGCTTCCACTGCTCCAACTGCCACCCTCTCTCCCTGCTGCTCCTCCAAACCCAGCAAGCCCCGCAGTTCCTCACGCCCCACTTCTGTGTTCCTTCCACCACAACTGCCCATCACAATTCCACACTGCCCCCCCACCTCTCTCTCTCACACATACCTCATCGTAGAAGACCAGCCGCAGGTCCCCTGGGGCCGTGCGATACAGCAGCACCGAGCTCAAGCTGCTGAGAGGCCACTGCTCCCTGACGTGCACAGAAGGGCCCAGGCCCGAGGGCAGGGGCATCTCAGAGGCTTCACCAGGTGCCGCAGGAAGAGCAGGCTCTGCCTGGGAGCCTGCAGGGTCTTCCTCTAACAGGTACAGGGTGGACAGAGTCACCAACAGAGACACAGGGCAGGTTGCAAGGCCTGGAGGGAAAGAGACAGGGCAAGGCCCAGAGTGGAAAGCCAGAGAGGAGCCCAGATCCCCGGGGCAGGCTCTCGGTGTCACTCGAGAGGGGTGAAACACACCTGCCAAGGTGGTCACAGAGCAGCCTGTGCCTCTGGAGGCCAGGACTCTCCCTTTTCCAAACTCCAGGCATCTCTAGCCTCCAAAACCTCTGAGGCCCAAGACAAAGGGAACCTGCCCCCAACCCAGCCCATGAGAAAGATCCGCTTGCCTCCTCTGACCGGATTAGGTGGAACAGACCCCAGCCCATCTGCTCCCCCTCACAGAAAGCCTGTACCCCAAAGCAAAGGTCTCTGAGGACCCAGGAAACCTGCTGGCCCCACTAAGAGAGGCCAGAAGACCGAGGCTGTCCCTGGGGTGTGCCTGAGAGAAGTCCAGATTCCAGAAACTGAAAATGCTACGAAGGCACAGAGAGGCAATGGGGGTACCTAGCCAGGGGCCTGGGGCAAGACAGAGGACAGAAGCCTCACCTTCTACCAGGAACACCCGAAGGTAGAAGAACAGAGGCGGCTCCGAGGAAGAGTCTCTCTCCAGCAAAGGCCTGGGGGGAACGCGTGGTCAGCCAGGGGGTAGGAAATACTGAGAGAGGCAGGGAGGAGGAACCAGGGCAAGAGGTGTGGGCATGAGGACAGGCCGGCCCAGGTGCTCAGGGCCCAACCGTGGCTGGGGCTTGCAGAGATGGCCCAGGCTCCGGGAGCGGCTGTCTGGCCACCAACCGCAGCCTCGACCTCCTATTCACTCACCAGAGGCGGTGCTTCGGGGTCACCTCCTCCTCTGTGGCACTGACACTGCTCCTCCAGCTGGGGGGCAGAGCCTGTAAGACATCTGGACAGAGCCAGCCGGGGACAGGGAACCTCAGAGACTTCATCTCTTCTATCCCAACCTCTCCACCTCTCAAGACCTTCCTGACTTCTAGATTTCAGAAACCTCTAAAGGGGATGAGTCCCATTACCTGTCTGTCTCCACTGTGGCTGCTAGACGCGGGCAGCTGTGACCCCTCGGTCCCCACCCGCCCTCCCCGTACCTCCCTTCCCTCTCTCTTCCCTCTCTCACCGGTGAGCTCATCTAGAAAGGCCCGGCAATGCTTGGCATCTCGGGGCAGCAGGACACAGCTGCCTGCCCCAGACGCCCACTCCAGCCGCAGGCTCTGTCCTGCCAGCCCCAGCTCGATGCCGCTCAGGTCGTGCAGGGGAACGGCCAGGGTTGGCTGCAGCCAGCTAGCTGGAGGCCCACTGTGGAGAGGGACGGCCAGAGTGGTGGCAAAGCGTGAGCGGCGTGAGACCCACAGGGAGCCCTGCCCTGTCCCTGACGGCCCCACTGGCTCACCATATCTCCCCTGTCACCTTCAACACATAAAGCCTACGGTCAGACACCACCACGAGACACACAGACTCCCCAGGGTGGCCTGCCAACACCAGTGGCACCTAAGGGGAAGAGGAAAGAAAGAGGGGACAAGGGAGGCGGCTGCTGGGCTGAGAGCAGAGTTACCACGGCCCAACCCTCCCCACTGCTCATGCATCCGGCCTTGCCCGCCACGCCCCTGCACCCTGACCCACAGGCGGGCTTGGCGGGTTTCCCTGCCTGGGATCGTGCCCCCTCCGACCCACCCTCCACACTCCGCTGGACTACTGTAAAACAAAACCAACTGCCACTCCCCTGCCTCCGGGGCTCCCGCGGCCCTTGGGATCAAGTCCAAACTCCCTGGCAGACACTTGAGGCTGCCCCTGAACTGGCCCCTGCCTGCCTCTTCAGACTCCTCCCAGGGCCCCTACCCCCTCCCCAGCCCACCCCCTGCTGCCCCGACAGCAACAGTTTCTCCCCACTAGCTAGCCCCTGTCTCAGGCCCCCAACACAGGTGCTGCTTCCTTTCCCCAGATCATCCCCCACCTTCTCTAGAACTCATCCTTCAAGCCCTGGATTAGATCTTAGATCGGCTCCCCAAGAAGGGGAGGCTCCGTCACTCAGGCTGGATCCAATGCCTCAGCCTAATTCCAGCACTTTCCTATCTCATAATCCTCGGGTTTCTCACACCAGAATACAAGACAGATGGCAAGACGGATTTACTCTAAATCCCAGTGTCTTGCAGATGCTAGGTGCTCGCAGAGGGACAAACACTGTGGACTTAAGAGTGGTGACAGGAGGCCCCCTTTGAATGCCAGGTGCTGGGCTGGGCAGCTGTCCGACATGGGCGCTCACTGACACACCCCATGAGGTAGGCATCACTATCCCCGCCGCGGAGCGCCGACAGGCTTTGCCATCAAGGACTGTGTCCGTAGCCACACTGAGGGACGGCGGGAGCTGAAACCAGGCGCCTGACCTGGGGCTTCCAGAGCCCCTGCGCTGACACAGTTTGCTGTGGGGGACACAGCAGGCACTCTGGCCGGGGGGGGGCGCAGGGCAGCACCAGGCTGGCACAGACCTTGAGGCAGCACTGGAACTCCTCCTGGGCATCAGCGAACACCTCGACATCCAGGAAGAGCCGGAGTCGGTGGTCCACAGAGCGGAGGCCGTGGCGCTCAGGGGCTGGGGGCGAGCCGTGGGCCGTCAGCCTGCCCGGGCGACCACCGCACTCTCCCACCTCCCCGAACACCACCTCGGTCCCGTTTCACCCCTACTCACGGGGACTGAGGCTCCAACTGTGGCGATCCTGGGAGACCGGCGCCTGAGATGGGGCCCCGTCAGCCCTGCTGCTATGGTCACTGGGGTCAGGAGGGTCACGGACAGCACTGGCCGTCTGCGAGGGAACTGGCGGCTGTTCATCCTGTCTGTGCTCCCTGTGGCTGGTTCCCAGGGACCGAGCCAGGAGAACCACATGATCACTACCACAGTTTGGACACACAGCAGGAGATTCTGGAAGGAAGGATAGGCACAGTCCCTGTGAACCCCAACACACAGCACCACAATCCCCCCACTGTGCTCATCATGCTCCCCACCCCCTCTCAGATTCACCTTGGCCAACATCTCCAGCTTCCTATGCTCCCCACCATTCCCAACACTCCCCTCCCCCCACTTCCTGGGCAGGCCAGTTAGCCAACCGCTCTCCATCCCAGTGAGGGAGGAGCAAACCAGACCCATGGCCCACGACCTCCTCAAAATATACTCCATCTTCTTACTTCAGGCCTTCTCAGAGAGAACCAAACTGCTCTGGTCCCCTCCCATAGCCTCGGGCTGTCATGTACTCTGAAGCTCCACCAGCCACGTGGGAAGGCCCCAAATCAACAGATGAGGAAGGCAGGGTGCCAGGTATGGGTCCAATTCCAGGCTCTGTCACTTAACAGCTGTCATCTAAGCAATTATGACAAGTCACCTAAGCTCTCTGAGCCTGGTTCCTCCTCTGTAACAGGAGTGATGACAGTGCCTGTCCTATAGGGTCGTCAGGATGGGTGAACGGATCAGGTAAAGAAAGAATCCAGGTTGGGGATTGGCAGCGAGAGAGGAAACACTCTGAGCAGCTACAATGGGCACATGCCGGACCCTCTGACGATAGGATTAAAAGTCTCTGGATCCCAATTTGCAAATGAGGAAAGCAAGGATCCAAAAAATGACACACCCGGGGGGCGCCTGGGTAGCTCAGTCGGTTGAGCACCGAGCTCTTGCTTTCTGCTCCGCTTGGGTCATGATCTCAGGGTCATGGGATCAGCCCCAAGTCAGACTTCACAGCCAGCGCAGAGTCCGCTTGAGATTCTTTTCCTCTCCTTCCCACTCTGCCCCGCTCCTGCTCATACACACACACTCTTGCACTCTCTCAAAATAAATAAAATCTTAAAAAAAATACTGGGGCACTTGGGTGGCTCAGTCCATTAAGTGTCTGCCTTTGGCTCAGGTCACGATCCCGGGATCCTGGGATCAACCCCCCTGTTGGGCCCCCTGCTCAGCGGGGAGCCCGCTTCTCCCTCTCCCTCTGCCTGCCGCTCCCCCTGCTTGTGCTCACTTGCTCTCTGTCAGATAGATAGATAAATAGATAAATTTTTTAAAAAGTCATACATTTCAGCACAAATGGTATCGAGAATATTTCTTTTCTCTTTAGAATCTTTAAAGACATTGCTTTTTGATCCACAGTGGAAAAAATCTCTCAATTTAAAGAACAGACTGTGAAAAGATGCATGAGGCACCACTTGATCTCAAGTAGCTTGGAAGGTCCGTCAAGGCAGGACAACCTCAGCCAACTCGCAAAGCATCTTACTCAACAGCCAAACATGCTCAGAGGACAGCACTACACCCGAAACTGCAGTGAAGGCTAAGGAACTTTTATGGAGTTTCTAAATTATCAGCCGAAGAAGTGGAAAAAGCCTGCAAGTTATGAAAAAATAATGAGTATGTTTCAACAGTTAAGAAGATTGTATTTCCTGACTTTTAGAGAGAAAAAAAAAAGGATCTAATTTCTTCTTTTGCTCCTGTCATTTTTTTCTTTTTAGCAAATCTATCAGAGAGACAGTTTTATTTTTCCTCCAGACAGAAGAGTTGGTCCCCACTTCTTCCTTCCCTGGGGTGCCCCCTTTGTATTCCCTCTCTCAAAGCCATCATCTCTGAAACGGTGGGAGTCCCATGGACAGAAGGTCAAGGGCAAGGCACATACCTGTCTTTTGGAACAGAGGCCTCCAGCCTTCTTCACTGTCTAATCCCAACCTGGGCTCCTCTGGCTTGAACTCATGGCCACAACGTAGACACTGGAGTCTGCCCCACAGCGGGTCTCTCGCTTCCCCAAGCTCATGCTGAGCCGTGGTGGCTGCTGGGGTCAACACGGCAAGCAGCTCCTGAAACAGGGTGAGACAGACACAGCTGTGAGCGGTGGACCCTGGCCCTCAGCCTTTCAGGCCTCCCCCGGTGCCCTGACCTTGCTCTAGGCCCCGTTACCTGGAGAGCTGCGTGGGCATCGGGCTCCAGCACCACATAGCGACGCAGCTGCCGGTCAGGGCAAATGTAGGAGAAGTGCAGAACAAGGACTGGGGCCCCAGGGAGCGGGTCTGCGCCCTGCGCACAGAGGGGATCCAAGAGATCTGGGTGATGCTGACAGTACAGAAGAAAATTGTAGCTCTGGATGTCATGAAAATGCTCTTAATGACATCCACGCTCTAGCTCAGCAGCCCTACTCCTCAGCTCAGCCTTCCAAGCTGTCTGGGGCCGTGCCTTCACCCCCCCAACTCCCCTGCTCTGCTCCAAGTACCAACGAGAGCCTGGGGGAAACCCGCGACCCAGCGCCTGGTACCCAACAGCTGTGCTGTCCCAAGTGGCTCCGGAAAAAGGCCCAGCACCTCTTCCAGGGCCCCTAATGCCGCCGCTCACCTCGAGCACTGCCTCGTGCTCGGTCTGAGGCTCAGGTTCCACCTCAGCTGCCTCCAGGCTCTGGAGCTCCAGCCGTGCCAGGGTCCGAGCTGCTTGGAGTTCCACCTCGAACAGGTGGCCGGAAGTGACCCGGAGAAAGCATTCCCTGCCCCGCACGCCCTCGGGCCCCTCCAGGGGACACACCAACATGGGGCGACACAGTTCCGCTGAGGAGAGACCAGGAGAGCAAGCCTGTTAAAGAAGTGAGAGGTATCCCCGACTCCGCCCCCCCATGGGGTGGCCCTCCATCCAGAAGGGGTCAGCCGCCCCAAGTGTGGGTTTTCCCAACTCGCCCGGATACACCGCCAGCACTTGGTCCGGTCTCCCTGGCAGCCACTGAATGAGCGCTCGGTGCTCACCTTCCACTTCATCCTGCTCCTCCACCTCGACTTCCTCCCGGGGCTCCGGCAGGAGCCTGACCTCCTCTGCCACTTCCTGCGGCGACTCCTTCTCTGGGGGTGGAGAGCCGGGCACAGACCCTGGGCTCAGGGGCAGTGTGCTGAGGGCAGGGGTCTCAGAGGTAGCCAGAACGGGGGTCCCGGAGGTCTCCAGGTGATTCCTATACTGCAGCCAGTCACAGCCAAACCGTTCCCGGAAGCTGTTCATGAGTTCAAGTTCCCGATGCTGCCGCACAAACCTCCCTGGGCCGGTGAGGGGTGCACGGTTTAGCAAGCCCGCGCCCTCACCACGACCCCCAACGACCCCAGCCTCTTCTGCAACTGCTCCCTGGGGTGAAGTCTAAAGGTGTGTGATGTGATGGAGGGTGGGGATCAGAGGGAGACTCAAGGCTTCCCCTCAACAGCACGTCCCAAAGCACGTTCTATGGAACGCTGTGCCCACGCACAAGTCGGAACCAGGCAGCATACGCTGCTGGGGAGATTAGAGATACACGGGAGCAAACTGGAGGTCCTGAGATGTCCTGGGGGGAAGACGCCTACTTAACTCTGGTTAGCCCAGCTTTTCCCATGAGATCCTTTCAGCAAGTGACCTCTCTACATCCCACACAATTCACGTTCCTTAAAAAACACTCTGGAAAACGCTGCCCAGGGGTGGTCTCCCTTTTCCTTAAACTAGAAAGGAGGAAAGCCTAAGAGGCCCTCTACAACGCTCTGCTCCACCTTACACAGAATCCCTCCTACCGAGAAGACTGGGGCCGGAGCCTGAAGACAGGACTTAGGGCAAGGGCAGCTGGGGCCGCAGAGGACTTTACCAGCTGGGGACGGGTCCAGAGTCCGGGGCTCTGGGTCTGTATCGCTGGGTTCCGAGATACTTGCTCGCCTCACACGGACTCGGCTCTGAAGGTGGACACAGGACCGATGCTCTAGAAGAGCCAGGGCCTCCCACCCTGCCGTCCGTGGCCACACCCCCAACGTAACCCAGAAAACCCCACCCACAAGCAAGGATGAGGCCTTTCTCTTCCCAGCCCATCCACAACCCAGAGCCCCCAGAAAGGGACCCAACCCCAAGCAAAGGTGGCCTAGGACACTGTTTACCTTAACCTTCCGGTGCAGATGCTGGGCTACAATGCCCCCTGAGGAGATGCTGTCACTCAAGTCAGGGCCGCCTGAGGTTTCAACAGTACTCCCCGCTGACCAGGGCAGAGGTGGGGCCGAGGAACCAAGCCCTGAGGATGTGGAGGTCTGGCGTATGACAACGGGAAGGAGAGCGAGGCTGGAGCCAGAGATGCACCTCCGCCCTACCAGGCTAGCCAAGGGATGGGCCCTACTTTGTAGCTGCCCAGAAAGACCCCCACCCTGGGACCCCTGCCATGTCCTCCCAAATCAATCCTGGATGGCCTACCCCCAGTGCTCCCCACATACTGACCTGAAAGTCAGTCAGTGACAAGACTTTCCCATCAAGAAGGAACTGAGCAAAGATAAAAGGGGAGGGGGTGTGTCGGTGGCGGGGTACCTGCCCACCCACCCAGGGGAGCCCTCCTAGCCCTGCAGGGACCAGCAGGCTCGGGGTGGGGGGGCAGCCTAACAAGAGGGGTGCCAGGGCTGCGGCCCCTCACCCAGGGCTGGGGTGGAGGGCAGATGACGGGGCAGGGGGTAGGACAGGCAGGGCAGGGAAAGCAGAGCGGACAGGAGATCACTCACACCGGCAGTGGCGTCCCTGGCGCGGGGTGACAAGTACTGGAAAGTGGCCGCTCGGTGCGCGGGGTGGAACCACAGAGGGTTCCCCTCCAGGTAGAGCTGAAGGGCAGGAAGAAGAGACTTGAGATGGGCCTCGGGCCTCCCTGTGTGAGGAAGGGCACTCACCAAATCAGCCTGGGGGGGAGGGGGAGGCGCAGAGCTGGCCCCCAGGTCCTGGAAGCGCTTAGGACACACCTGGCGGAGCTCAGCCAGCAGCCACAGCGGCGCCAGCTCCCTGTGGCCTTCCAGCAGGTTGTACGCCACATCCAGGTGCCGCAGGTTCCTCAGCTGCTCCAGGCCTGGGGTGGAGGCGAGCAGGGAGGAAGGGCATATGGCGGGGGGAGGCTGGTAAGAGCAGAAAGACCAGCCTGGGCACCTCAGACCTACCGGTAGGCCCGCCTAAGGCTCTGGATGCATGCGGGTCCCAGGCTGAGTCTCACACTGGCCCTCTACCCTCCATGTTCGCCCCACCCTCTCCTACTCCCTGGCCCCTCACACTCCCCACTCACCCTGCAGGCTCCGGAGCTCATTGCCTCGCAGTATCAGGGTCTCCAGAGCAGCGCCCGAGGGTCCCATTCTCGGCACCAAACGCAGGTGGTTATAGGAGATGTCCAGATGGCAGAGCTCAGACAAGTCCTGAAAGGGGGTGGTGACAAAGATTTTCTCCTTGACCAGACTCTAGCCGGGCTCCTCTGAGCCTTCTTTTCAAATAGGCCTCAACCTTAGCCTGTAAAGACTGCATACTCTCCACCATCCTCCACCCGCCCCTCACCAAACGTTAACAAAATTGAACAAATCCTAGCATAGTTCCTAATAGCTCAAGGCCATGTCCTTGGGAAGACAACTCCAGCCCCTTTACCTTCCCTCCTAGAAAAACCCAAGGCTGCCAGGAGAATTTAGTTTGTTCCAGCCAACAGCTGAAGACAGAACCCCTATCTCCCAGCCTCTGTAGGAAGGTAGGAGGCTAACTCTGGCAAGCCCCAGTTAGCAATCCGAGACCCAGACGGATTTCATATGGACCAACACCCCCTTCCTGCTTTTTGTAAATTTCCACTTCCTTGACTTCAGAGATTTAAAACTGACTAGTTCGGTCAAGGAAAGAATCTGCTCAAGTCCCTGCCTTCTCCCGCCCACTCCCTCACTATGCCTTTAAAACATCCAGTAATCTTGGGCGCCTGGGTGGCTCAGTTGGTTAAGCGACTGCCTTTGGCTCGGGTCATGATCCTGGAGTCCCGGGATCGAGTCCCACATCGGGCTCCCTGCTCAGCGGGGACCCAGAGCCTCATCTCTTCTCAGTCTGGCCCCCGCCACCATCCCCAAAGCCAGAGGTAGAGTGAAGGCTCTGAGCAGAATGGCCTTCCCTAGTTGCTGCCTGGTAGACTCCAGCTGTGTTTAAGGCCCGGCTCAGACAGACCCTAGAGGATTGCTTCTCACCCCTGCCACTCTTGACATTTGGAGCCACATAACTGTTCCTTATAACAGGCTGTCCCACGCATCGTAGATGGTTAGCAGCATCCCTCTACCCATTAGATGTCAGTAGTACCCCCAACATCCAATTTTGATCATCAAAGATGTCTCCAGACATTGCCAAATATTCCTTAGGGGACAAATCACCCACTGTCTCCTCCCCCCACTGGAGAAAGATTCCCTTTCCCAACTATTTGTTCCTGTAATATGTATATATAGTATATTGTATATTATATGCATATATATTGTACACACATATATACTATGTATATTGTATATACGTATATAGTATATATACTGTATATGTATATATGTGTAATATATATAGCATGTATTACATTACATGTATTACATATATGTGTAACATACATATATACATAATATATAAATATCTCCCTTTTATCTTTATTATTTCATCCTATTTCATCCTTTCTCTACCTGTCTCTTCTGGGGCAGATCTTATTTTCTCCAAGGCAAGGCTGTATCCTGAGCAATGTTACATCCCCAGCACATTGCACAGAGCTTGGCACAGAGCAGGTGCATAACAAGCCCAGTGGAGGGGCACCTGGGTGGCTCAGTCGTTAAGCGACTGCCTTCGGCTCAGGCCATGATCCTGGAGTCCTGGGATCGAGTCCCACACTGGGCTCCCTGCTCAGCGGGGAGTCTGCTTCTCCCTCTGACCCTCCCCCCTCTCATGTGCTCTCTCATTCTCTCTCTCTCAAATAAATAAATAAAATCTTTAAAAAATAAATAAATAAATAAATAAAACATCCAGTAATCTCTGCACAAATCGAATTTGAGTTTAGTTTATGCTAAAGTTTATTATAAATTAAAATGGTTCTACTACTGATTACATACCACAATAGCTTATTACTACCACAATAGCGTATTACTAAAATCTGTTCTCACCACAGTAACTACTATCCAACTTTGTCCCTGACAATAAGACTTGGAGAAGATTCTTCACCATCATCCCCAAGCTACCTTTTCTGAGCTAGATGCTAGGCTAAGTAACATCACACAACCTCCACGACCACTCTAATACCATAAAAGCCAGTACTCCTAGGATTTCTGCTTGACCAGTTAAGAAACTCAGAGCTTAGTTTGTCCCAAGTCACACAACAATTTAGGAGTTGAGATTTGAACACAGGCTTCTCTTACACTACAGCTTGAGTTCCCAAAGAGTACTGCCTCCAGGATGCAGCCCTACCTGGGGGAGGGTGGGGGACAGGTCCAGGAGAGAGGGTCACAGTGGAATGACCACAGACCCAAGTGGTGCCAGCCCCAACCAGCCTGCTCACACTCACCATCAGGAAGCCCTCGCAGTCCTGGACTCGATTGTGGCTCAGATTCAGGAAGCGCAGAGCTGACAAGAGACGCTGGCGGCGGGGGGAGGGGCGGGGATGGGAAAAGCAGCAGAGAATCAGACACCTCCAGGCAGCCAGCTGGCCCTCCTCCCTAAGGGCTCCCCTGTCTTTCCCCAAACCCCCTTCCCTCTGAGGCACTCACCAGGGAGCTGTCTAAGGAAGTCAGTGCGTTGTAGCTGAAGTTGGCAGAGAGCAGAGCCAGCCAGGGCAGGGCAGAGCAGAGGTCACCACCACAGGCTGAGAGGAGCTCCTGAGATAGGGTGCTCCATTACCTCCGCTGTCCCCTCCTCCCTGCTCCAAGCCACTGTCCCCCAGCCATTCATTTGTTCTCTATATACTAAGCTTCGTCTGCAGAGACAGACTGAAAGCAAGCCCAGGGCCCTGCCCCCAGGAGTCTGTTGTGGGGAGAATGCGGAGACAGATACGAGAATACCAAATACAAGATGGCAGGTGTGACCATAAACGTACAGACAGGGACACAGCACTACGGGAGCACAGCAGCGGGGGCAAGGACACTGTCTGAAGGGAAGCGGGAAGCAGGGAAGGCTGCAAAGAAGAGGGAACGGCAGAGCTTGGTCCTGTACGTCCCTCAGAACAGGGATCTGGGCCCAGCCCCCATCCTCCTTACCTCTAATGCCTGAATGCTCCTGCTGCAAATCAGGGTCTCCAGCTGGGAGTAGATACCACAGAGGCCACGGAGGCAATGAAGAGGAACACCTCGGAGCTGAGAGGGAGGGACAGAGAAAGGGAGGGAGGGAGGGAGACAGAATTTCACAAAAGACAGAGGCTTCACCTCACTTCCTTCTTTTACGGGGAGGGAAAAGATGACAAATCCAACTATGGTTCAGGGAAGCGTTAAACATAAGAGATGAATGCCACATTACTGCAGAGCGGTGGACACACTCAGGCCTGGCCTGCCCACCAAAGGGGGGCCATCTCTTTCCCCATTCCCAAAAGGTTGCCTCAAATTGGGCTTTGTGTGCCGGCACCCCCCAACACTCCATACCTCCAGCTGCCGAAGGGACTTGAAGGGAAAAATCTTGATGGGCCCAGGGAGGCCAGAACCAGGGATGTGGACCAGCTAAAAGAAAAAAACCTCATGTCACCGAGGCCAGCACACCTCCCTTTCCTTGGCCTCTCCCCACTCACACAGCCACCCACAGCCCTCACACCATCTCCATCTGGGCCCTGCAGACTTCTTGCACCCATGCCCCCACCCCCCCAGCTCTTGGGCTCGTCATACATCCTACTCCATTCCCACTGCAGCGACCTTGAGTGAAAGAGTTTTCTGCAGCACATCGAAGAGGAACTGAAGCTGGAGGATGACAGGGGAGTCGGCAGGGTGAGAAGGCAAAGCCACAAAGCCTGTCTGGCCAGGGCCCCATGGCCCCAGGTGCAGCTCAAATACGTGGTTCAGCTGCTGCAGGGTGGTGGTCAACAGGCTCAGCGTGCTACAGCCAGAAAGGACCACGTCACCTGCAGGGAAAGGGGCAGACAGGAAGCAGAACATAACAAAGGGGTCTTTCCCTTTATTCTGAGACTCTGTGACCCCAGGATATACCCACTCCAATCCATATGGTAGATCTCCCACTGCTGGGGTCATACTGTCTCCTCCCTGCTCAAAATTGTCTTCCACAGCTCCCCTCTATCTTCACAAAAAGTCCTAACTCTTCTGCCTGATGACAGGAGCTTGTGTTCACTACAGCCAACCAAATTTTCCAAAGTTTCTTTCACCATCTGTTCAAGAGAGTCTGGTTTATTCACGGTGCTGGGAATACAGTCACCTTGGTTCACAGATTCCTCATTTTCTGATACATTCCCTTCCACTCCGCCCAGCTCGAGACTATCCTCCTCCAGGCAGGCTTCTCAGTGTGTAACACTGCTGCCCTTTTATGCTATAATCACTCACTTTACGTAAAAGTTGGTTGGGTGTTTCACTTTTCTTTTAATTTTAAGTAAACTCTATGCCCAACATGGGACTCAAACCTACAACCCCGAGATCAAGAGTCGTGTGCTCCACCGCTGAACCAGCCAGATACCCCACGTACTTTACCTTTACTTCTCTGACTGCAAAAGTAATATGCACACTTATAGAAATTTTCAAACCATCCCAAAATGCACGTCATAGAAAGAATAACCACTCATTATAGCACTGAGGTATTATTCTCCATCTCCATGTTAAAACTGCTCTCTCTAATGAGACTGTCATCCTTGAGGACATTTTTGATCACCCTGGTACCCATCACTGCACCTAAAAAGTACAGGTATGAAGTAGGCATAGAGAAATATTTTTTTACTATTTTTTTAAGACAACGATAGAGCCGAAACATGTTACAAAAATATTACAGAGAGGTACCCTATATTCTTCACCCAGTTTCCCCCAATGTTTACATTTTATGTAAATATCAAAGTCAGGAAACTGATATTAGTATGTACCTATAGTTCTATGTCACTTTTTTGTCATTGGTGTGGATTCCTATAACCAACATCACAATCAAGATACAAAACTATTCCATTACCATAAAAATCTCTTGGTACCTCTTATAGTCACACACACACACACACACACACACACACACACCATCATCCCTAACCCCTGGAGCACCAGGTCAGATTTGTGCTGAACAAACTGTTAAACCCTACAACCTTACATGAAAGATGTTCTGTGTGCTAGACACTAAGGATAGATGCAGACAGGGTTCAAAGACTCTCCCCACCCTCAAAGAGCCTCTTAGTGTAGAAAAGATAAAATACTACACAGTTAATAAAACAAGCCAGAAAGTAAAACTGCTCTTGGGCGCCTGGGTGGCTCAGTCGTTAAGCATCTGCCTTCGGCTCAGGTCATGATCCCAGGGTCCTGGGATCGAGCCCCATAGCAGGCTCCCTGTTCCGCGGGAAGCCTGCTTCTCCCTCTCCCACTCCCCCTGCTTGTGTTCCCTCTCTCGCTGTCACTCTGTGTCAAATAAATAAAATCTTTTAAAAAAAAGAAAGAAAGAAAGAAAGTAAAACTGCTCTAAAAAGAGATTCCACAGACACCACCAATGGGAGTAAGGAGTACAGAGTGTGGGCAGGCGGCTAACATCAATCGGGTGGTATGTGGCAGACAACTTTGTTACCTCATTTAAACTTCATCAGAATCTCCTAAAGAGAAGCACTACTGACCACTCCTTAAAGAGATGGAAATTAGGGCTTGGAGAAGAACACTGACTGAGCTTATATAGATGGTAGGAAGCTGCTACTTCTGTCTGATCTGAAATCAGGGCTTGTTCTACCACAACTAATGTCAACCACACATTGAACCACTGTGGCTCCACTGTGCCCAGGAATGGAGAGAAGAAACTGTAGTAACAATAGCTACCAATTTTGAGCCCTTATGTATTATGCAAACATTGTCCTAAATGCTTTACATGGGTTAAAATTAATCCCCACAACAAACTTTTGAGTTAAGTACAATCGCTATGCCATTTTCCTGCTGTGGAAAACTGAAGCTCAGAAAACTTAAACAACTTCGCCACGTCTGGAAGAGTTGGGATTCCAACCCAAGTGCATCTGACTCCAAATCTCGTGCTTTTAACTATACTAAGTGCCTTGCCACAGAGCAATGATTATGCCAGTCCCAGGTCTCCAGAGATTTACAGCCAAGTAAAGATCACTTTCCTCTGAGAGTTTCAGAGAATGCACTGAGGAAGTGGCACTGGAGTTGGGTCTCGAAGGATGGCTAAGGTGTGAAATGTCAAATGGAGCCTGCAAGCAACAGCACCAGAGAAAATAAACTTCAGAGGAGTAGAAAAACAATGAATTGACGCTCGAACCCTCGTAACCTTAAACAGCTGTAACTCTATGTTTCCTATGGGGGGGAGTGTCTCTGGAAGGCAAGGTGCACCCCCACCTTGCCCCAGCCCCAGATCAACCGTATATCCGCTCACCCGACTCCCGCAGCAGCCCCGCGAGCTTCCACACCAGGGAGTCCCGCTGGGCGGTCGTCATGGCCACGGGACGCTGGGGGCGGAGCCTGGGAAAAGAGGAAGCGGAAGAGCCTCAGGTGGGGGGGTGGTACCAAAACCCCAGGACGTCCGCGCAAACGAGGACTCGCGAGGAGAAAAAAGTGAGAAAGAGAGCGAGGAAGAGCATCCTCCCGAGTACCCTTTCGAGGAGCGTAAGGCCTGGCCCCCCAGACTGACCTCCTGTGTGCTCCTCCCACCAGCTCTGCAGTCCGGCACCTATCAATAATGGCCAGGAAGTCCCGCCCCGGAAGGAAGGCGGGTAGGAGGGACAACCGGAAAGCACGGCTGCGCTGCCGGAAGTCACGACCTAAGTCGTGCTTACGTGTCTGACGGGGGCGGGGACGGCTTGGTGCGGACAGGGCGGTCCCCCGGCAGTCGGTCCTGCTGGGGCCCGAAGTTGGGCCCCGCCGTCCCTGCCCCCTCCCCCCCGCCCGCCTTGTGGGCCCCGCTCAGCGTGGGTCTCCCGCTCGGCTCGCCAGGGCCCCTCCAGGCCTGTGAGGAAAACCTGACTCGTTGTTTACAGACTGGGCGGGGAAGCGCTGTTTGGAGCAATGCGATTTTCTCTCAGGGAGGAAAGGACTCGGCCAAAGCGAACACTCGTTTTCCAATTAAAGGAAAGCGTGTTCGCTACATGAAGTTTTTTGGGTATCTGCTGAAGGAGCTGGGGCTTGCCAAGATGCCACCTCTGGAGTTATCGTGACACTTTTTCCTTAATGTCCCTCCAAACTCATTGTTCTTTTTTCCTTCACTAGTGTCAGACTCACGTTGCGATTGGTAATGCCTCACGTGTATCCAGTCTTTTGCTCTTTGTGTTTCCTTCCATAACCCCTGAATCCAAAAATTGTTATTCCGGGTTTGAAAATGAGAAAGCATGTTCACAGAGGCGAGGTTCCCTGCGAAGGTCGTTCAATTAGTAACCAACTTCGTCAAGACTGCCAAAGTTTCCTGGTTCCAAGTTCCCGTTGTAGCTTTGACCTGGCTCCCAGTCAAAAAAGGAGGCCAACTGCTGAACTAGATTACATAAAGAAAAATATAGTTTCTCCTTGCAACAGGACTAGGGGCAGCCCTTCCCCAAGCCAGTCCCTGTCCAAGCGTCAACTCCCTACCCCACCGCCTGCTGCCCTCTGTCTAGGTTCTCCCTCCCACCGCTCCCCTGAAATAAAGTCTGGTACCCCGAAAAAAAAATGTCTTTTAACAGAATTTGGTTTTAAAGGAGAGTTTGTTTTTTTTTAGTAAGTGCCTTTTCTACAGAGGGAAATCACAATGAATCCTATGCCAGTTGAGGGTGAGAATATAGTTATCTTTATCTCAAGTTGCAAAATTTGAAGGATCTTATTTTCTACAGTCAAAATATTTGAAATGGCAATTTATGACCCTAAACCACACAATTTAGCGTTTATGGGATACTCTGTGATCTGAGCCAAAATGAAGTAAGTAGAAGCCCATCGTGAACAGCAAAGCAGTAGGGGCTCAATATATTTCTGTTGAATTATTATCCCAGAGCAGTGATGATTGTTGGTCCTTGTTTATCAATCACCTGGAACTAGGAAGGGAGGGTTCTCCCATACCATTTCTGCCAACTCTAACCCTCTTAGGCAAGAAGAGACAGATTGTTTTGAAATTCCTGGCATTACAGAGCTTTGAAATCTGTTTCAGGAGTGTCTACCCAGCCGGTAGATTCTGAGAATTGCTCCATTCATATGGATAGACCCTGTAGCCAGATTTGCTCTACATCACTCTGCTTCCCCAGAAATGTGAAAGTGGGACAAAGAGAGCAACAAAGAAAGATACAGAGGGAGAGGAAAACATCTACTCAGAGAAGCAGCACAAAGAAACTAATCAGTTGTTTCCAGGCCCCCTTGTGAGGCGCACTCCTCCTTCTGCCTTCAGGCTGCAGAGGAGGCCTTGGCCACCTTCCAAAGAATTCCCACCCAGCTTTTTTTTTTTTTTTGCCTAAGAGTGTATCTCTGTAAATTGCTACCATAAGAACATTGACTAAGAAATAATCTTTTTTAAAAAATTAAAGTCTGAAATGGAAAAAAAAAGGATCCCATTCGCTGAAACAGGAAAAGAAAGAGAGAGAGAGAGAGTATACACCTGGAACATTTTGAGAAATATATGAAGAAAACCAGAGAACTTTAAGGACATTAACAATGACCTAAATAAATGAAAAGTCAAAATGTTCCTGATGAGATTTGATATTATAATGATGTCAGTTTAATGCAATTTCCATCAAAATCCCGATGGGGAGATTTTGGAACCTAACAGGTTGATTCTGAAATTCCTCTGGAAGACTCACATGAGCACAGCCAAAACATTTTGAGGGAAAAAAAGAGTAAGAGGCACTAATAGGGGCCTTGCTTTAGCAGTAGCAAAATGTCCTGTAAAGAAAGCAGCAGTAACCACAGCAGCATGGTACTGACAAAGAGATAGACAAAAACGGTTAGATCAATAGAGCACAATACAGGAATAACCATGATTACATGGATTTTTTTTTTTTTTTTGCTATATGTGGTAAATTGACTTTAATGACACAAATAATGAGTTGTTCAATCGTTTGAGGACAATGAGCTGCCCAAAAATAAAAAATGCTTTGGGGCACCTTCCAAGCATATGATTAAAACCTCCCAGCACAGCACAGATCTGGTATTAGAGAGGTACAGCTCATCCACCTCAGGCTCCACTGCCATGTTAATTGTGTGAGGAGAGCGGTGAAATGTAACCAGCTACCACTGGTAGCACCCCAACTCCTTTCATTTCCCTGAGGTAGCCTCTGCAAAATGCTTGTGATCAACGGGGTAAGGAAAGGTGAGCTGGTTACCAGCTTAAGCAGCAGGGGTGGAGTTCTAGAAGGAAGGAAAGAATCTTCATACAAGAATGACCAAGTCAGAGGCACCCGGGTGGCTCAGTTGGTTGAGGGGGGTCCGACTCAGGTGGTGATCTGGGGGTTGTGAGATCCAGCCCTCCTCAGGCTCCACCCTTGGCGGGGAGTCAGCCTGAGATTCTCTCTCTCCCCTTCTGCTCCATCCCCCCACAACACTGGCGCTCTTTCTCTCCTTCTCCCTCTCTCTTTAAAAGAAATTAATAAAATATTTTTAAAAAAAAATGACATGGCACCTGAGTGGCTCAGTCGTTAAGCGTCTGCCTTCCGCTCAGGTCATGATATCCGGAGTCCTGGGATCAAGCCCCACCTTGAGCTCCCTGCTCTGCAGCAAGCCTGCTTCTCCCTCTCCCACTCACCCTGTTTGTGTTCCCTTGTTCCCTCTCTGGCTGTGTCTCTCTCTATCAAATAAATAAAATCTTTAAAAAATAACAATTAATTTTTTTAAAATGACATGGGCGCCTGGCGGGTGGCTCAGTCGATTAAGCATCTGCCTTCGGCTCAGGTCATGATCCCAGGGTCCTGGGATAGAGCCTCCCATCAGGCTCTCTCCCCATCAGGGAGCCTGCTTCTCCCTCTCCCTCTGCCTGCCGCTCCCCCTGCTTGTGCTCTCTTTCTCTCTGCCAAATAAATAAATAAAATCTTAAAAAAAAAAAAAAAGTCAGCTACCAGAGAATACAGACGTCAGAGTCCTGGTCCCGCTTGCTTCTGATACCTTTGGAGTATGCAGGCCCCTAGACTGTTGCCCACAGGAGAACAGAAGTAACAGTTCCTTATTAAGACATGAGCCATCATCTTAGATCCGGACCTCACTGCTGAGGTGCTCCAGCCTCCTGCAGCAGACCAGATGATGCAGACCTAAGGATACCTCCAAAATGAAAAGTTCACGCTTGAAATTGAGTTGTGGGTCGGGAGGGTGAAATTGGATGATCTACTTGTTTCATTAACTAGGTATCTTCATGGAATGGGAAAGGGGGGCAAATGGAAGAGAATGAAGAGGTGTGAATTATCACCTGCAAAAACAGAGTTGTGTTAGAGGAGTTTGCGCTCTAGGGGCGTCCATGTGCCTGGTACGTACAGCCCCAGGACCCAGTGGTCAGAGGCAGTTCTTGCCACATAAGTTACCACACATTGATTCTCTTGGCTCTGCTACCAGACCTAGCCACAAAAGACTGCCCAGGAATTGGCCTGGTTACCAGAATCAAACATATGGAAAAAATCAGCAGCATTACAGGAGATCTGGCATGAGAACACTGCATTAGACTGTGACCAAGTGAGCCCATCAGAGCCTGGCTCCCAGAGAGACTGAACACAAGGCACACGAAGGGAAAGCCAGAGAAGCAGAAGCCAAGCTCAGCTTGGGATTAGAGAAGCCAGGGCCTGAGAATGGCTGCCTGAAAAGGAAGCAACAAAATAAGAATATCCCAGTGACCCAGCAACAGCTCGGAAAGCCCAGCCTGGGGGATTTTGCAGTTCTGCAGAAAATGAACTGAGGGAGTCCCTGGGTGGCTTTAATAGTAAACCCAAGGTCATCTGAGAGTGCCTTTAATTATTTTCATTGCCTCTCCTGGAAACCTCTGGGATCATAAGAGAAGGGGTTTCAGAAGTGCTGTAAGAAAGATGGGGACCTTGTGGTTCAAGGAAGAGATGAACCAAAAGCTACGTCCCTCACTCAAGCTGCTTGGGAAAGCACAGAAGCCAGCTGGGGAATGGGGATGGAGGCAGCTGGGAGAAGAGAGGAAGGCAGCAGGATCCTGGAGAGCAAGAAGGCCTGTGGGCAAAGTCGGGTACATATGTGACCCATGTCTTCCATCCCAGTTCTTCCTGCACACAGGGCTGGAGAGGGGAGGGCCATGGTCCACAGCAGGGGAGGAAGCTGCAAGTGTAATAGCATAACACCTGCAATGGGGGACAAGGAAAACCAAGAAAAGTTGTGATCAAAGGGCTTCAGGTGTCCAGGGCCTGGGGAAGGGGAAAGGTACTGGCTGCTTTGCAATCTTACTTCAAAAAGTGAGAGCAGCGGGGCACCTGGGTGGCTCAGTCATTGGGCGTCTGCGTTCGGCTCAGGTCATGATCCCAGGGTCCTGGGATCGAGTCCCGCATCGGGCTCCCTGCTCCGCGGGAAGCCTGCTTCTCCCTCTCCCACTTCCCCTGCTTGTGTTCCCCTCTCTCGTTATGTCTCTCTCTGTGAAATAAATAAATAAAATCTTAAAAAAAAAAAAAAGTGAGAGCAGCCTTTCATTCTCTCATTCATTCCACAAACATTGACTGAGCCCTGACCGGGTGCCAGATCCTGTACTGGATTCCCAGGAAATAAAGGAGACAACAGTATGGCTCTTGTTCTCTAGAAGCTGGT